AACGCCCCGTGGGGCCCGGAAGCCAGGCGCCAACCCGCTCCGACGAACGGCCGGCGTCTGGACCGCTGTCTGACGCCATGGCGCTGGCTCCCCTGCTCGTCTTTTTTTTCTTCTTCTTCTTTGTCACCGCCGCCATTTTCTGGGAAAAGGCCGAAGCGCGTGCGCACGCACACACACCTCGCTTTCAACTCTCGTGTGTGTGTGTGTGTGTGTGTGTGTGTGTGTGTGTTTTCACCTGTGTGTACAACTCTGCTGAGTTGTGCTGTGTGGAGATTGTGGTTGGGGCTTTGAGCTTGAGAACCGGGCTAGCCACGCCTTTCACACTGCCATTGGTCACCAACCTTGCAACACACACACACACACACACACACACACACACACACACACACACACACACACACACACACACACACACACACAGTTGGTTGACGAAGGAGATTGCGTTGATGTGGTTGTGAAGGGAGCGAGGCGAGAAGTCTCACTGCGCGCGGCCTCCGTTCGGCTCCGGCTCGGTGTAGCCCAGCGTTGTTGAGTCGTCTGCTTCCTGACAACCACAACATCATCATCATCATCATCATCAACATATGAAGCGAAACGCGGCGCAGCAACCTCACGCGCGTCACCTTCAAGCGGACGGACGGACGGGTGGCGCGCTTAACGTCCTCCTGGCTTGTCGTCCGCCTTCCATCCTGACGGTGGCGCTGTCGCACGATGTACTCGTACGTGCTCAACCTGTTCCACACTCAAATAGGCGCGCGCTATCGTCATCCAAGTCCCGTTTGGTGGGCCAAACACTCAACCGCAGTCAAGTGCGTTTTGATTTGGTTTTTTTCGTCTCGCTACCGACACCATTTCTAGCGCAGACGATCGTACTTTGCCACGCCTTTGCGCAGAAGGACACCACCAAAGGCACCGGTGCGTTGTGTAGACCGACTGTATTCTCGGATACTTACTGAGGTAGAAGTGGAAGAGCAGCAGGTGGCAGAGCAGCACGCAGGCGAGCAGCGCCAGCGCGCCGGTGACGGCGGCCAGCGCGGGAACGGCGGCGGCCGGCGGCGAGAACGGGAACCGCGCCGCCGTCCGGTTCGGCGCTGAGCGGGCGGGAAGAGGCGCGGGCGGCCGCTTAGCGTGGGAGCGGTTAGCGGACTCACCCCGCGGACTCACCCCGCGAGTGGTTGACGGCGGGCTCCGAGAAGAAGGCGATCAGCACGTACGACGACACCGCCAGCAGGACGCACGCGCCCAGCGCGGCCGACGCCACGCTGTACAGGAACAACCTGGGCGCACGCAGACAAGCCACACGTTGCACGCATGCGCGATCCTCCCATCTGAAGCCGCAGCTTGCATTTCAGCAAAGCGGAGCGAGACGATCACTTTCGGCTGAATCCGACGGAGCCCTTGGCAAAGATCCGCTTTTGAGAGCAAAATCACATCTTGCGAGCTCCCCGGTTTCATTTTAGCGGTAACCGATCACGTGACCGAGAAGCGCGCCTTGACCCGCGTCAAGAACGACACACTGCACGCGGATGTGAGGGAGAATCCGGTCGTTTTTCAAAATAAACCGTCTTCCAGATTCCAAAATAAATAGAACGCAAGTAATGTAAGTTCTTTATTCTTTCTGTGCGGCCCGGGACCAAATGACCCGCGCACCGGGACCGATCCGCGGCCCAGGGCTTGGGGACCGCCCATTTATTTGACTAAAGTCACGCCGCGCTCAGCCGCTCACATGACGCTCACAATTCCGAGCGGAACGCGCACGTGACGCCATCTTGTGTTTCACGTCATCCTGGGTCTGATTTTTTGGGCG